CTGTTCAGTTACATCACAGCCCTGACTAAAAAGAGACCACGTACCAAAAGCAGTTAGCTTTAGAATGCATCTTTTATGTCTCAAAGAACTAAAACCCCTTATAGTACTCAAACACCATGAAAAAAAAAAAAACTAAATCATTCTAATAATCCCATATTCTATTTCTTTGGCTAGCAGTAATAAAAGATATTTCACTCAGATGGTAACTACATTTACATCTCTATTAGTAGATACAAGTGGCTTTGTTAGTCCAATAGGGCAATAATAATAATAATAAAATAATAATAAAGGCAGCTAATTTATTAAATACTTAATATGTGCCAGTCACTGTATGAATGTATTCAATTCCATATGTATGAATGCATTGAATTCTCACAACAGAGCTTCAAGGTAGGTGCTACCGTTCTTTCCATTAGTTTTATTCCAAAAGCTTATCTAGTTTAATTACTCACTCCGAACAAATTATTCTTGCTCAACAACTATGTAAATAATTTGCCAATGTCCAAACACTCCTTCATCCCTCTCAGCTATAGAAGACAGAACAGACTATCCGTGCAGTCATACAAGTTCGATAAATGCACCACTACTAATATGTTCGTTTTTAATGCTGTTCAAACATTCACATGGAAACAGCTCTAGCGTAAATATCCCCGAACAAATGGCTGTATATTATCCAGGAGGGAGCAGTTGGACCGCCAGACTGGGGAAGTACTAGGCCATCTGGCTCCGGCAATCTCTCCAAAACCATCAGCTTTGTTTTCACCCCCAGACTCCAAACAACACATTTTCCACTGTGATGAGTTTACATTTTCCCAAACACAGGTCCTGATCATGCATAAAAATTCCAAACTTCTTCATTCCTCTCTGCACAGGGAAATTTAAATCACCTACATTTTTGACATGTTACCAAAGGAGAGAGAAAGCTGCTGAAATATGGCCCCTAACTATGGAAGTGCTCCGTCCTTTTTAATTTGTTTTCCCAAATATATGAAAGAACTTCTCTGCAGGCCTCGTGAGTTTCTTAGGAACTTATTGATATACTAAAAATGTGTTTATCTACCAATGAGGAACCATGAACTGAAAGGGCTGTTAATCAAATCTACATAGCTGTGGCAGGATATAATAAAACAATCAATGGGGAAAAATGCACTTGCATCAATAACTTAAAGTACTGGGAACATCAAAACATATAAAGAAGTCTAGCTGGGAGGAGAAACCTGACAGCATTTCTGATTATTGTACCTTGGCCATCCAACTGTGCTCACATCCCCCCCTTTAAGGTCCCCGCACTACATCACCTGCCTTTAAGTACAAGGATTATGCGGCTACTATTTTCCTATGTCCAAAAAGGCTTCTGTTTGGGGGCAGGGAGGGGTTTGTTTTTAAACGGCTTTATGAAATGTAGTATCCTTTCTTTAAATGAGAAAATGTCACTCTTTTAAAGCAAGAGGGTAGCAGAGAAGAGGAGCCAAAGTTTGTTTGGTTTAGCTGTTAAAGAATAAATAACTCGCTGAAGCAATCACAGAATGTAATCATATTTCAAATACTACATGAAAATCTAAAATGAACCATATTAAAACTCAGACCTCCCCCACCCTGTTCATTGGAGCTTCTGCAATAGGTACTGTGTATGGATGCAAAAGCCATAAACTTCTGGATCCTACAGGGCTTTTTGCATGCTCACTAATGGAATACCAAAAACAGTCATGACACAAAAACAACCTATTTTTAGTCCAGCTAAACTTGGTTTTGAGCAACCCTTCCCAAAAGCAAGCCTTTTATTTTCTAGTTGGTGGATGAATTTTAAAATATGACAGTCAATGTGTTTTACAAGGGAGGCGTAAGGATGAGGACTGCAGATCCTTACGTATTCCCTTCGAAAGAAGCTTCCTTTTTCTTGGGAGAGTCCAAAATTAAGAGTCATTACTCAAAATAGTCTAATGAGACACTTCGAAAGGTGTGAAGTACTGTGTCATACCAATACATTTTGGTTGATTGAGTACATTTCTGTTTGATTTCAATGCTGCTAACTCCACTCAACATCAGAAACAGTCTATGGAAATGCAGAATGCACAGCTAGCTTTGATTTTGCTGGCCCAAGACTCCTTTTGGTTTTAACCCCACCGTGCTAGTCAAGGATATGACATCATACCCATAAAGCTTTGTCTCTGATACAAAAATGTGCTATAAAGAAGCAGCTAGGAGAATACACTTGAACAGGGCCTAGGTACTCCCCCCACAATTTACTGTGTTACTAGAACGCATGACATCACTGAATGTATGACATTCTACACTCTTAATATCAAAATTCAGAGTCTATCCGGAAGGATTTCACAGGGGAAAAAGTGCCCATTCAATCCGTCAGTTTATGTCAAGCCTTACTTGGGACTGAAGGGACTACTGTATATATTTAGCCAAAATCAAAACTTTAGGAAACATTAAGCCAGTGATATTTATTTATCACAGAACAATTCCAAACTAGACAAGGATCCACTATTTATCCATTAAAGCTAAATATATGTTATTATGTCAGAGCTTGGGAAAGTTAGGCTTCTTCACACTGATCTATTTGCCTTTTGGAGACTACTGTATTAACTGTGTACACAAGAAATGAACCTACTTCCGAAACTCCACAGCACGTAATCAAAGAACAAGCTGCTGGATAATGAGCAAGGATTGCCTTTCAAAGTGAAAGCTACAGAGAAGGTGGTTATTTAAACGATTATTGTAAGACCAAACAGGTATGTTTTGAAATATCCCTTGGTCTTGATATTTTTAGACTAATTTAGATAATTATGAAACCTTTTTTCAGGTCACTCACCACCAAAATATGCAATTGCACACATTGATCATTTTCACTTTTAGTGAGATATCATATCAAATGACTCTCCATACCAGCTATTACTAAAAACAAACTGTATCTTGTCCTTCTCTCTGTCTCTCCACTGATAGAATTTATGATGATACCAAGCAGTCAAAACATGCTTTAAGCGGCCTTTTTTTCCTTAAGTCCTATGACCTTGTTAGTAAAATATTTGATATATTGCTTTATAAAAATCAAAAGCGCTTTCTCCTACCATTCTCATAGGAGAGTGTGTAAAGTCAGTCATTCGTAATGGGAAAATTGATTCTTGCTGGTGCTCTTTGTTTACAGAGATCTCAAATAAAGTTTGGAAGAGGCTTAAATCTAAGCGAAATTAATCACTCCAAAAGTCCTAATTGTGTGCTCCTACAATTGTTCGTTTTATACTGCTGCCTATAATTGAACACTGAAGTAGTCAGTGTTCTGCACAAGCAGAGAGGCCTTATATACTGATTTGACTGTGTGTGCATTTTTTATATTTTAAGACGTAAATTCTAAGACATACATATGGAATGTGTATCAGAGTTCAGACTTTTCCCTTCCCCCTCCCATCTTTATTTTTTCTCTAATGAGAATGGCAGGAAAGGATATCCAGGGTATCAAAGATCACTTTTGAAAACAAAACTATACTTAAGACATTTTTGTTTGGATATTATAAAAGGGAATAGTGACTAAAATTGGGCTTTTGTGTTTCTGCTTGGCAAGAAAAAGTTTTTAACAAAATACAGTGTCCCAATGAAAGAGAATTATCCTCTGTAATCATCAAATCCATTAAAGACAATTAGCCCCAAACTAATAAAAGTATAAATGGGGATTTACTCTGAGCAATCAAGTAAGAAATAAACAGAGTTTTAAGAAAGCCAAGTATCTTAGGCAAATAACATGAAATAGATTCCAATAGGTATTTATTTATTATTTTAAAATATATATTTATACCCTCTTGTTTTCCACCTGGGTCACAATGAAACGTGATATTAATAATCAAAATGAGCTGTTATTAAATTGGTTGTTACTGAGTACACTTAAACAATTCCAACAGGTTATTAATGTATATTTTGTAGAACATAGTCAAGCCATGACATATCTAAAAATATTTTAGAAAAATGTATGTATATCCTAATTTGAGATTTTTTAAATCAGTATTTATGGGAAAAGATTACTTCCTTTAGTTTAAAAGGAATGTTTTAAAATCACAATCAAGTAAATCAATTTTAATCCTCTAATTAAATTGCCTACTGGTACACAATGAATAACTTTTCTCTTTGTTCTGATATCTTTCCCCCACCCAATAAAACTGTCTTCTTTTTTCTGCTACTAAGTCCTCCAACTCTCTAACCAGCTACTAAATTTTGAAACTAAACTTTTTCTAAAATTAAGAAGAAGAAAAGCTCCTGTGCCTCATTAAAATGTCAGGCCTCCTTTCTGACTGGGCTCATAATAGTATCTTTTAAACCATAACTCAGCCTTAATGTATACCGCCTGACACCCGCGTGTTGGGGAGTTTAAGAAAATGCAGTCTATGTACCTTTAAGACTGCAAGCTCACTCATGCTGCCTGGCTTCCTGCCAAACTTGGAGGCAAATGCAGGAGCGTTTTTTTGCAAAATATCCTCTAACAATTGTCGCTCCCTCTTCCAACACTCCCTTCACTGCAGTCCCCTTTTTAAAAGAAAATCTATGGAGTGGTCATCTGTACTCTGAGCCCAACTCCTCATTCCTGAGGTGGCCATCACTGCCCCCCACCCTCCATCCCCTCTACCTTCTGCCTCCTGGGGGAGGCCTGGCTGGCTAGCCTTGCAAAGGTTCAGCCAGGAGGATCCCTGGGCACCTTTTGCACATCCTGAGATTCTCCCAGCTGGGTCAAAGGAAGTTCAACCCTTTTCTCCACTCAGCACCCATTGGTCTTAATTCGAAAGGCCTGAGTCTCCCTTGGACAGAAGAAGTCTGCAAGCCATCCTCCCCATGGGGCAGGCTGACTGTAAGAGTGGACATTGGCAGACTGCACAGCAGCCCCCGGTTTTAAGAGTTCGAGTCCCAGACCTCCTGCTGTGGAGCAATCAGCTCCTAGACTCCTGAATTTAGAATTCCGGTTCCTGGTTCCCTAGAGTCACCTGGAAGCTTGGAATTAAGAAACTTACTTGTTTTGTCATGGAGTCAATGAGGCGCACATAGAAATCCTGCTCTGTCCTTATGCCTGGGCGGTGGGGAATAGAGAAAAGCAGAATTAAGTAAGAGAGAATCAGCCAGGGGTAGGGGGTAGGGGGTAGAGGTGGGAGGCAACAACAACTAAACAAAACAAAACAAATAACAACAAAAAAACCACAGGCATATAAAGGAAGGGGTTATAAGGCCAACTGGAACTCCCACTGTCCTGGAAAAGCACAGCCAGGAGCTTCCTTCCTCAGTACCTAGAGAGGAGCTGCTGGCCTAACTCTAGTGTTCTTGGAAGCCAAACCCCCAAACACTGCATCTGGGAATGGGGTGAGACCTCCACCTAGCTACTCTTCCTCCCAGAGGAGAGCCCCTCAGTACTGGCTTAGATCCATCAAGACCAGGATTGCTCCTAACCCCAGGAGACCAAGGGGCCTGAAGTCTGGCCTAAGTCAGAAACACCAGCCTTTGCAAGGGGAGGAAGAATGAAGATGGACAAGCCAGGGCTGACGTTGCCACACCTGGCCCCAGATAGTCACAGGAAGGACCAGTCTGCACTCAAAGCCTCATGGGGTGAAACTTCCTAGTGGGAAACTTACTTTCTTCCACCTGGAGCTCCCCATGCCCTCTGCCCTGACCTGGGGCCCAGCATGAGGGCGCTGACCCAGCAGCGGGAACCTCACCGTTGCTGTAGAGAAGCTGGAGCCGGTAGTGGATCCCGTTATTGGTCTTTTCGCTGTTGGCTTCCTGGGTTGCAGCCAGGTACAAAGACAGAAGAGACGGGAGGGGAGAGAGGTCGGCATGAGCAAGTTGACCAACTTCTAGGCAACTTTCTCCAAGCTGGGACCCCTTGGTTAGCAAACTAGCCAGCCCTGGTAGCAGCACAAATTGCAGCCCACTAAGATCCCTCCTCCACCCCTCAGCTGCTGTCCCTGATGGAGCACTCTCCCCTTTTAGAAAATTCCACGGGGATACAGGGGCGATCCTTTCCCCAGAGTCTGAGGGTTCAGGCCTGGGCCATCGCTGGCAAGCTGTGCGTAGTCCATCGAGGGTAGGTTCCTCCCCGGTGCGCAGGGCTCTAGATTGTGGAGCCCGGCTCACTTCTCTCCAGCTCTGGGGGCTCTTTGCAAACTTTTTCGGAGCTGGACCCCATGCACCAGGGGCTGGGGTTTGTTCACGAGAATGGAAGTGGCTTGGGAGGGGACCCTGTTCGGTAGTGTGTTATGAATGCTTTGCACTCACGGCCGGCTGAGCGTGCCTCGAAAGACGCCTGGGCCTGCTCCCAGAGCTAGAAACTGGGAGCGGCGGCGCTGCGCCCACCTACTTTTTCTTTCTCCACGAACCCCACAAACGCTGTCCTCTCTGTCTCCACGGGCTGGCCCTGTCTGTCGTAGAGGGCCAGGACGAAGTGGAAGAAGTTGGATTTTCGCAGATTGGAAGGCGGCTGCTTCTCAAAGTGAGCCCGGGCCAGACCCACCCCGCTGTGGCCAAAGACGCAGAGTTAGACGGCTAAGCCAGACGCTGACCCGCACTCCGCCTTGTTACCCCGCACAAACCCGCGTAACCCCCAAACAATCTCCTCCTCTGCCCCCAAAACGGCCCGTGAGCGCCCTCCACGCCCCCTCAGGAGCCCCGGGCTCAGCCGGCGCTCGGACATCCATGTCCCCGCGGGTCCTCGCCCTCCTGCCCAGGACAGGGCGCGTCCTCAGAACTCGCCCAAGAGGTGTGAAAGTTTTGTTTGGGTTTTGCGCGCGAGACGAAACGCTCCGAGCATTACTCCGACCCGACGCACGCCCCGCGAAGAGGGGGTAAAGTGGCGCCGGAGGAGGTGAGCCTACGTTCCCGGACTGGAACCCAGAGTTGACAACCGAGAAGGAGGGGGCCTGGGAATCCATGGGATTCCCCCTCCAATCTTGGGTCCCAGCTCCGTGGGCAGGTGAGAGTGGACTGGGAACACGCCTGGCCTCTCGCCGCAGCAGCCACCCTCCAGGAAAGTTCCTGCGCCCCAGCCACGTGCCGGCGCCCGGCCTTGGGAAGCCACTTTCCCTCCCCCCAAAAAAATGTGGATAGGAAGGGTCCGAGGGTAGAGCTGCAACTGTCGGTGGTGGTCGCTGTGGGAAAGGGAACTGGGGTGCTTTGTAAAGACCTGTCCTGACAAAGTTTCGCTGTTCTGCAGAAATCCTCACATTCCAGAAATCCTAAGGGCTGGGGCTGCCAGGGACTGCAAGCTGGGGCGCCCGGTGCCGGGCGCCAGGCGTGGGGCGTGGGGCGCGGGGCGCCGGCAGACACTGGCAGGCCGGATTTTTGCACGGGCACACTTACACAAACACACGCGCACCACGCACACTTTCACTTCCAGCTCAGTTACCCAGATCACTCTCACTGCCATCCACCCAGCCTTGGGCTCAGCAGGCATGGGAACAATGTTAGGGACCCTTGTCCTGAGCCCTGGAGAGCCAGGGATGGGTGTAATTAGTCATCTTCCTTTTTCCTATTCGGCACTGGGCACTCTCCGAGTCCGTTAGGGCCTGGGGCCACTATTCCTCCCACTCCCCCCAAACCCAGCAAGGAGACCTGGGTTGGGGGTAAGGCCGTTTCCCACTTGGGATCAGGAGCCCCTGAGAGGGAGTTGGGTGGTTGGGTGTGCCCAGGAAAGTCCCTCAGGTCACCTTCCAAGGGCAGTTCCTCCAGGCCACACGGTCCAGCACCCAGGGACCTGCAGTGGGAGAGGGGCTGGAAGGGACCACGGTGACAGGGGTGGGGGACACTTTTAGGAGATGTCAGAACCAAAGTTGGGACTTGCTATTCTATGGGTGGACTGAGGAAACCTGAAAACTAGGGAGAGAGGGAGGGATAGCCAGACAGGAGAAATCAGAGAAGACTCGGGGGAGAAATGGGGAAAGACGACAGGAGAGACGGAGGAGAAGGAAAGGAGAAAGAGGCGCCGCCGGGGAAGCGGTGAAGACAGATGAGGAAGACGAACGGGAGAAATGGAGGAAGCTGGAGAAGGAAGGATGGAAGGAAAGAGGGATGAAGAAAAGGAGAGAAAGCAAATGAGAGAAGGAACTGAAAGAAAGGAAGAGAAGAGAAAGGAAGAAGATAAAAAGAAAGACAGGGAAGAGTGAAAGACACGAAAGGAGGGAGGAAGGAAAAAAGGAAGTGGAAAGAGGGAGAGAAGAAGAAAATAAAGGAAGAAGAGAAAAAAGAAGGAAGAAAGAAATGTGGAGCGAGGGAGGTAAGAAGGAAAGAAAAGAAAAAAGAGAGAAAGAGAGTGGGGGAAAAAAGAGAGAAAAAGAAGCAGAAAGAAAGAAGAGAAGAAAGCCGGCCGGAAAAGAAAACGATCACATAAGAACACAGCTATCCAACATCATCTGGTGAGACGCCACTTCTGGGTTAAAACTAAATGAAAACAGTCACAGACGAGGCCGGGGAAAGTGCCGGCAAAACGTGGGCTCCTTTGCGGCAGCTCCCGGGTCCTGCCGCTGGCGACGCAGGCTCCGCTCGCCCGCTCGCCCGCTCTCCGCGTTCCCGGCGCGATACCCACCTCTGCGCCGCCGTGTTGGCGTCCAGCACCCCGGCGCCCTGCATCCACGTCCGCACCGCGTTCATGCCGCTGCCCAGCGGCTCTTCCTTCATGCTGCTTCCACTCCGTTGGATGCTTTCCTGAATCCCAAACATGAAAACAACCTTTTCTTGTGGAAAATCTCCTCCCCCTTGAAAATATTTTTAAAAAAAAAAAAAAAAAAGCAAAAAAAAAACGCCAACCAGAGATTTTTCTT